AATCGCGGGATGGCCAAGAAATACAAAAATTCATTTGGTTCAATCCAAAAACTGGACATGTAAAGATTATTCTGAGAATTTTGAACGAAGTGCATGTGGTAAACTTTTAAGGTAAGGAAAACTTTTTTAAAGCATTATCACTAGGGCAAGATTGTGTTTTTAAAATCGACAAACCCTTGCATTAGTTGCATTTAAATGTTGAGAAATGTTCGTTCGAAAGAAATATGAGTAAGAGACCAAAGTAATAACGAAGAAGGGACACCAAAATAACGCACAAGTTCAGTTTACCTGACTCATTTTCGATTTCTGGATAAAAATTGGTATGAATGTGAACCGTCAGTTCGTCTGTTCACTAGATTTAGACCCTGTGGACGTTTGAAAACTGCGATCTTTGACTCGATTGAAAACGATGAAGAAAAATTGCTATTGGAACTAAATATCACTCCACAAAAACTGTAATCAGTTTTTTTTTTCGGTAGAAAAGATATTGGGAGAAATTTATACGTTGACAATAGACTTTAAGGGGATAATTTTGAATCCTTTGTAATATTTTTACATAAAGCTCATAAGTCCGGGAACTTTTTAATCAGCCCTCGTATATTTCTGTTTCTTATTTCTTTTATTTTCTTTATTTTTTAAGTTCTAATGTAAGTGCTGTATTTATCTCTTTTTAACTTCAAAAAACACCAATAGGATAGTTGTTGACATTATTGTTGTTGATTGTCCAATTGATAAGGTGCGAAATAACCTCAGAATTTTTAGTAAAAAAATTACTCTTGAACTGTTTAAACCCACCCGAAACAACTGACCTTTGCTACTCTGATTAATTCAGCCAATTTAAGTAGAGTTTAAGCAATGATGTAATAATGACCACAGCATAATTATACCATCACCAAATTTGGCGAAACTACAAATTTTGTTAATAAATATTACGATGGTCTGGACATTTAGAACACTGATTAATAATGATACGTGACAGTAAAGAATTTAACATTAAGCTGAAATAAGAAAATGATGTTAAATATGAGATGGTAATGAAATCGAATATGGAACATTCGGATGTGACGTACATTAGTCTTTACTTTAGTTTTGGTAAAATTATTTATTGAAGTACAGTCCCTCAACTACAATACCTTTATATGGACCATTTTGATTTAACGTTTCCATCTATATACTTAAATTTATTTAAAGGTGGAATAGCAACTCAGGAAGAATATGCACGATTTTGATCAGGAAAAATCACATGGCGCTAAATCGGGTCAATGTGGTGCACTGTGATAATTTACATTAAAATCCCACAAAATAGCTTTCATCGCCTCACCGGCCATCACCTTCTTGATAGCTCAACAAACTCGATAAAACTGTTTTACCCCTTTCGATAAATTATTTTGCTAGATTCTTAAAATAGTGTAAATACTTCGTTATTTGTTGTAAAAAGCGTCCTCAGAGTCAATTTTTTTTAGTTTGGGAACAGCAAAATTCACACGGCGCTAAATCTGGTAAATGCGGTGGTAGTCTATGAAATCGTAGCGTTTTTCAAGTAGTTTTTATAAATTATAACTTTCGCCTTCATGAACTTTCTGGCTGATCAAGTAATAACCTTCGTTGGTGACTCGATACAGTAGATGAAATATTTTTCCAACTTTTTTATCCCTTCCGATAATTTGATTTAGATCTGTATTCATAAAAAAGTGTAAATATTTAGTTATTTGTTGCAAAAATTGATTCTTCGAGTTATTTTTGTTAAGTTTGGGGACAGGAGAATCACGTACTGCTAAATCTGAAGAATGTAGTCATGCAAACTCTTCTGTCCACTGCTGGGCATTGGTCTCTCCCATTTTTCGCCACTCTTCACGGTTTTGTGAATCTTGCTGTTATTTTTTTGGATATTCGTTTAATGTCGTCCATCCAGCGTATTGGTGGTTGTCCTCTGCTGCGTTTGTCTTCGGTTGGGCTCCAGTCAATTAGTTTTCTGGTCCACCTTGAGACATCTCGATACCTGTTCTTTTCCTTAGGTCTTGGTTCCTTATTTTGTCTTTTTTGTCACGACGAGTATCGATCTTTTCATGCGCCTTTGTGCCACTCGCATTTTTAGTGCTGTTGTTTTTGTGAGAGTGAAAGTTTCTGCTCCGTATGTCATAATAGGAAGACCGCATTGGTCAAATGTCTTCTGTTTCATAGCTCTCGGGATGTTGCTCTCAAAGATGTCTCTTAGTGAACCATAAGCCGCCAGTGTAATAGAAATTCTAGTAGTGTCATTTTTGTTAGGTTTGGGGACAGGAAATATCACATAGTGCTAAATCTGAAGAATGCAGTATATAATCGATAAAATGTAACCTTTTTCAAGTAATCAATGCAAATAATATCTTTTGGATCACAAAAAACAGGTTTGAGGTCGTATTTTTCTCGAGTTATTTTTGCAAAAAATGGTCCTTCGAGGCATTTTTTGTATACCTAATGATGTTTTTGCCTGTACAACTGCCGGCGTTTGTGCGTTTGACAAGAAGAAAGTTTTGCAAGACAAACAGAGCTTGTATTCTTAAATTACCATCCAATACCAGTTGTTGCTATACCCTTTTTTAACTAAATCCGACCGTCTTGGCCTTCTTCGGTGGGCCTTTGAGTCTTTTCTCCATTACGTTGGCTCTACCTATATCTCCAGTATGTGTACATGAACCCATATTTGATTACTAGTCACCTATCGGCGAGACAAATCCTTCTAATTGCTCTTCTTCCGTTTTAATCTCACACATGTGTACGTTTGTAGTCGACATTAAATAAAAGTGACACTCATCGCGTGTATACCTTTTTAATATTCAAAATTTCGTAAACTTTGGTATGTACGCATTCAATAAACACGCTTAAAGCCTCTTTCATCACACACATTTTCGATTTGACGATAGATAATGGATTTGTAGATTTTTTCGGTCCTAGTCATGGTTGTCTCAAGCGATCACGACAAAATTCCCTTCTTCTAAATTTCAACTTTGATAATAAATTATCTTTTTTGCATTACTATTGTGTTTAACACGTTAACTGCTGCGCTTGGCTAGTTCATACATTCAAAATCAAATTAGGTGTTTTTCTTATGTCATTTGCTTGAATTACTCTCTTGCTTTACATTTTTTATTTTTCATCACTGCTCTTGTTAGAAAATGGAAAATAGTAAAGGCAAATGTAGTTGTATAGTAAATACAAGTAATAAATTGTGAAAAAGTAGTAGTAAAGACAAATGTACTATATATACGTAATATTACTATGCAGATTAATGTGAAGACATAATATTTTTTACAATGTGTCTTTAGCAGTAGACATAATTTCCTATTAAAACAATTTAAATCCTAATTGTATAGCTAGTAAATGTTCACAAGAAAACTGAATTCATGTATACCATGTATCACAAAAAATGTTATTTAAAAAATTTTGGTAACTGTTGTTTATTTTATATATATTTATTGTATTCACATTTATTCTTACTGCATATATTATATATGTACAAAAAGGTCTCGTTTTATGTGGTGGATACATTCCACAGAAAAGCGCATATAAAAAAATTGCATAAAAAATACACTACTTGCCTTTTAAAATTACATAAAACCAAGACAAAAACAAAAAAGTTTGCAGACATTAAAAGAAATAGGCTGCATGATAAATTACTTCGAATATCTGAAAGAAATTCATACAAAAGCTTAAAAAACTGGTCCATATTTCTATTTGTTTTTGTGACTATTTATATTTATTCATTTTGTGTCGATAAACAGAAAAACAGTGGAATCTGTTTATTTTTCTAGTATTGTTGTTGAAAGTAAACTAATTATTTATGAACTTAGTCTGCAGGTGGATGTTTACCCAAGTTGTCTCGTTCTAAAACGTGTTTAAAATAGCTTAACTCTTCAATACTCTTCCAGTTCAAATCACCTTTTTCTATCAATTTTCTAACATAAACTGTTTTTGCTTGTTTTACTTGTAAAGTAAATCTTTGCCTTTTAACACATGAACATGATCATATCTGCTTATCAAAAGTAATCCCAAAAACTGATGAAGTCTATTCCTCTGAGCATCGAGTTCGGTATTGTGACGAATCAATTGAATTATTTCAAAGCGTTTAAAACTGATGAAAAAAAATTGAACTCACATTTGCCCAACTGTGCATCGCCTACTCTTGATAGTGAGGAAGTTTGAGCTTGAATTCCAATCTTCTCACTCTTTTTCCATTTACATTGAACCAATATATTATCTTTCTTATCCTCGTCGGTAACCGTACTGGGTACTTCGTCTGATATATCAAGAATATCTAAGACCTGCTCGTCAATAGTATCCTCGTTGCTTTCAGTAACTTGATCATGAGAAAGGATAACAATATCGACTGTTTCTGCAGATATTAACGCTTCCACATCGTGGAGTGAAGTTATCAGAAATTTGTGCCTTCGTGTAGATAACTGTTCTTTCTACTAATGCATCCCTTGAGTAAGATGAAAATTTGGCACTTAATTTTGTACCAGAAATTATAGATTTTTTTATAGAAATTTCATTTTTTTTAATTGCTCTTTAAGTTGATTCGCCCAAACTAAAATTTTTTCTAATTGCCGTAGATCCTTGTCCTTTTCCTAAGCGATCTAAAATTGCAATTTTCGTTTCCAACGAAATTGATTGTCTTTGATGTGTTTCTCCATTGGGCCAAATAAAATTTTACAAAAAGAAATAAAAAAAATAGATTTACGATATTGAGATGGCAAAAACCTCTTCTAATGAAAAATAAAACTATGCAACACTCACGTGAAATCCTTAAATCTGAAAACCGTGCTGCTTATTACACTGCAACTTGGAATTAGTTACAGATGCAAGAGAAAAAATCTTTTAAAACAATAACAGGTTATAACTTTTAAAGCTAAACTCGCAATGATCAAATAGGGACATCATGTAACATGGGAAAATAATGCGCATAAAAAGAGACCTTTTTGTATTATATATATTATAGAAATAATTATAGAGATAGTTACCTGCACCCAGCTTTCCAAAGTCTTGCCATATTTGTCCAAGAAAGCTTGTTTGATATCGGCCAAATCGATTTCAGATCTTGAGACGATGATACGGATTAAAGTCTTGTCGTTGGTTCCCAAACCAGACATGGACCAGTGAAGACGTTCCGCGAAATATCCAACTTTACTCTTCACGCACTTGACTGAAAAATAAACATGAAAATTACTGGACGCTTCTTTGAAAACAGCCAATTGGCTATTTGGTGCCAATTATAGCCGAGAGTAACAACCAATTGGCTATTTGTTACAACTAAAGACAACGCACTTCATAATAATGCGTTGTGCCATAGCCACCTTTAATTTCAAGCCATGAAGTAGAAATTTGGCAACAACGCGTGGTAGTCCGACCATGGTTTGTTTCATGTTTGTTTTGTTTAACATTTCATATAGGAAGGCTTGTAAAGTTTGTTGAATTTAGTATTTTTTTAACTTTATTCGAATGTTTTATTTGTAAATTGTGTTTAAATCAATTAGAAAATATTAATATAAGTGAAATTTCATTAAATTTAGAACTTTTAGAAGATTCTTAACGACAATTTAAAAGGCAAGTATAAATATAACCTACAAAACAAACTGAAAATAATAATACTTTTGCTTCTTGTTACAAAATATGTAAACTAAAAACAACAATAATAATACTTTTGTTTTTTGTTACAGATGCTCTGGCATTGTTGTGTACCTGGTTGCAAAACCAATTATGCCAGTACTTTAAAAACGAAACAGGCAGAAAGTACGTTTTCGTTTCCCAAAGATCCCCAAAGAAGGTATACTGGGTTATGCTCTATTCATAGAGAAGGCTATACAATTACCAAATCTTCCGTAGTATGTGCCAAACATTTTCATGAAGATGATATTCAGCGGACTGAACAATGAGAAGATAAAGATGGAAATGTACACATTGAAAAGTTAATATTTCCCAAATTAAAAGGCAATGCAGATTCTAATATATTTCCTGAAGTGCCATCATATGTAACTGTTCATCGTACTAAAGAAAGAAGGAATCCCGAAGACAGAAGAAACTTTTTGCATAAGAAGAGGGAACAATATTATGACAATTAGACTTAGACAATAATATCCCCTTGAAAAACTGGACAAGTAAAATTACAAGTGACTGTGTATATTTCTGTGTATTAAACATTAATCAGTTGGGACACAAGTGTGATAATATTTGTGTAATACATAGTGTAATAGTTAGCAGTAATTTTAGTGTAATCGTCAATGTAGGTAAGAATAGATTAAGTAGTAATGATTTGAAATGGATTTTACAATATAGTAAATTAACAAGATGGTCACAATTAGAGAACTTACTTTCTCATTTAGATCTGCTTTTTAGATAAGTGATATCAAATTTGAGTATTACATTCAAAAATCTTTTGAGAATATAGGCTATTTTATATCGATATACAAGTTATAAATGGTATGTTACATTCAACACATTTTTCATGTATAACTCTCTTAACTTGGTCTATATGACAAAAAACCTATTCATATTTAAAATTGCTACTTTCGTATACCTAAGTATGAAAATTCAACAAAAGTTATAAGTAAATAGTAAAATATTTAATTTTCAATTAGATTAATTTAGAACCATATTTATATTGTGTCTGATTTCTTAGGATGAATTTTTAATCATAATAGTTACACTAAGTTTTTACTGAACAAATTTTATATCTTTTGTATTTTTAATAATCTTTTAAAATGTCGTGTTAATGTATTGTGTTATTTATATGCTTAAGTACTTAATATTTAAAATTTCTAGAGATTCTTGACTGCATTTGATTGTAAGATTATCTGTTTGACACTGTATTTTAAGTGCAATAAATTTTACTCTAGTGATTATTTTATTGATAATATAACCTAAATAATAATAAAACTTTATATATATATTTATTAGGTAAATATAAGGTTTTATTAATTTAATTTCCCTAATGAATTGAAGTTTTCAAAATATCAGTTTCCTAAATTCAAATTAGTTTAATTTTCTGGTAGACCTTGTTGATTATCGGACTACCGACGTCATAGAATGCGGTGTTGCCTTTTTTACTTCATGGCTTGGAAGTAAAGGTGGCTGTGGTTGTGCACTACTCAGAAGCTGGTCTGGACTCCTATACAGTCAATAGTGACTTCTTCTCTTCGAGTTTCTGATAGGCTTATGATATCCCATTTTATGTTTGTTAATTCTTCTTCCAGTTCATGTACTTGTTCATCCGTGGACATTGATCTACTATTGTATGTCCCTATTGACAGGTTGACGGATTTTTTTGATTTATTTTGTGCTCGTCTTAGTGGGTTTTTGTTTTTATCTATCAAAAGCGAATTATTGCCTCCACCAGATACCGTGAGGCAAACCTATGAGGTGTGGGATTCAGAAATTTTCTTATCCACCTGGAACCATTTCCTTTTGCTTTAGTGTTCGCCATGATAAAAGTGTGGGGGGAGGGGTAATGGCAGTTAAAACAGCACGCTTGCCAGGCGAGCTGAGTTAGTTATCAGCCGCCCATTCTGGGTCCAGATGCTGTTTGTAGCCGTCCACTCTGGATCAGACGCTACACTTAATTCTATACCAATTAATCGGGGGTGCCACTTCCGCCATACACCGTACCGAAGATGTTCTTCTCTGCCATGGATACCGTTGTGGTCTTCATACATGACCCTGGACAAGGGACCCTAAGCAGGTACTAGTTTCCTGACCGATTCACTCAATAGTGATTAAATAGTGACTAAGGAAGTGAAAAATATCATTTAATTAAAGTAATAGATTGCTTTGTACGATGTTTTCATTATATTTAAGATACGTCGGAATTACCAGAATTAGGCACTGAAAGTTTTATTAAGACGATTAAAAAAAGGTTGTCTTTATGGAATCACTCTTTGAATGATTATTTTATCATAACTACTATTTTGGGCCTCCTGTACGAACAACTTCATGCAGCAACCAATTATTTTTTCTTGTTTAGGATATTTTTCAGTGAAAAATCACGAATCAGTTTTATCTAATGGGTGCATGCAGCCAACTGGCTCGAAGTCAATAATTTTTTTTTTATCTAAGACAAAAGTAGGTACTATATAAAGCACACAACAATAATTAACTCTACGACATTTATCTTGAAATTAAACCAAAATCACAGAATATGCTGTTGCGGTTGCGGTCATAGAATCTCTGACCAGAGTTTATTGCAATCATGGTTAAGGTCATATGTGTTGTAGTGAACCACAGTCCTAAAGGCTAGATGAGGAAATAGGATAATACAAGAATCGTTAACCTGCGAACTGAATTGAGGGGCTGAGAGGAAAAGTGGTACAAGTGACATTTTGTATAAAAGTGAGATATGTGCATGAGTGGCTAGAGGATGTTGAGATTTATTAATATAAAAATGGTACAAGTACAAAACACACTACAGTACGGACATCTGTATGTGAGAAGTAAAAGCTCTCACCAATTTCTGGTAATGGTTTTTTGTATAAGTGGTCCAAGCGTACATGTCCCACTTTTGTTCTAAACCTTATGTAGTTGTTTGTGACAGCCACGTTTTAAAAGTGTGCAGGAATATTAATACAATTTGTGAAATAGCCTTAAAATAATGCAAGGTAAGTCTTCAATGCGTTTTATATTTTTTCAATTATTTTATAGGGTTATTTTATTTATCTATGTCTTCAAAAAGTAGTAGTTGAAAGAAACTTATAGCATAACCTTAAAATGTTTCTTTTTTGTTTCAGAATCTGACAGTTATTCAGAATATGACGATTCAGAAGAGGACAGAAACTATAATCCAATAGAAGAAAGTAGTAGCGATAGTAATCATGATCTACAAAACATTGCAGATGTTCATTTAAACAAGTCATTAAAGAAAAAGGGCAAAAAACGTTTGAGATATAGCGATTTAGATAAGAGGCAAGTAAGAAAACGAAAAAGAAATGCAGGTGAGGAATACGTAGGCTATAAAAACAAGTTAGTAAAAGCAAGAAGTTTGCAAAATTATATACATACTTGCAGATTTCAGTGTCAAAAATTCACCGATGAACAAAGACAGGAAATATTTAACCAATTCTGAGGTCTAGGAAATTGGAATCTGCAGAATGCATTCATTACGTCTTGTACAGAGATCGCTTTGCCCAAACGACGACGTACAGAAGCTGTTACTAGTTAAGAAAAGAGCGTTACTATCAAACTAAAAAATATGAGAGTTTGCAAAATGTTTTTCTTAAAAACCTTGGATATCAGCAATGGACGTTATTCGAGAATTTTAAATGGGATATCTGACGTTGGAATCACCGCTGTTGATAAAGAGGAAGAGCTCCATGTCCTAATAAACTATCACAGGATGTAATTGATAAGGTTAAAACGACATATTGATATGTTTCCAAAATATACCAGCCATTACACCAGACGTTACAATCCCCGTAGACGGTACCTTCCTTCATTTTTGACCATAAGAAAAATGTATAAGTGTTATCTAGAGCATTGTCAAGAAAATAACGAAGCTCCTGTCAAGGAATGGTGCTACAGGAGAGTGTTTAATACCGAATTTAATCTAAGTTTTCATCATCCCTTGTCCGATACTTGTAATAAGTGCGATAAGTTCGAAACATCAATAAAATCGTGCATAAGTGAGTCAGATAAAAAGAAAATAATGTGCGAGAGAGAGCTTCATCACCGAAAAGCGAATCGGAAATACAAGCCAAAAAAAGAGGCAAAAATAGTGGCTGAAACTTCAAGGAATGAAGAAGTGGTATCAGTTTGTTTCGATCTACAAAAAACTTTACCTACACCAGCACTTACAACCAACAAAGTGTTTTATATGCGAGTATTATGGACATATAATTTTGGAATCCATAATTTGGGCAAGAAATGTGCTTCAATGTATATGTGGGATGAATCGGTAGCATCCAGAGGCTCTATGGAAGTTTCTTCACGTCTTTGGAAATTTATTGCTGGTCTTAATCAAAATACACGATATCTTATTGCATTTAGTGATTCTTGTTCGGGATTTTTTATATTTTTTTATATGGAAATTTTTTATGTATGTGGTTAAAGAAACTCAGCTAGAAATAATAGACCACAAATTCCTTGAACCGGGACATACCTTCATGGAATGCGATGAAGATTTCGGAGTCATTGAAAAGTACAAAAAGCAAGTACCTTATATTTTTGTACCCAGTGAGTGGATGAATGCTGTGAGAAACAGTTCTAAGAAGTTTAAATGTGAAGAAATGAAGATGGAGCACTTCATTTCACTCGAAAACTTCAAAGAGTACGTGCAGGAAAATATTAAAAAGGATGATGAGAATAAGCAGTTAAAATGGAGAGAAATAAAATGGATTCGGTTTGAGAAGAAAGACCCATTTACTATGAAATTCAAGTACACTCTCAATGAAGAGACTGAATTTATACCTGTTAACTGTATGAAGAAGATGCGTGGAAGAACACCTCAGAATATTAGTCTTAGCAAACTGTATAGTTCACCCATGAGTCTGAAGTATGAAAAATGGAAGAATTTACAAAACCTACTATGCTTTGTGCCACCAATTTACCATCAATTTTACAATCAGCTCAATCACACTGCGAAGAAGGGAAAACAAGGTCAGAAAAAGAAGCCAATGCAACCTGAAGAAAGAAAAGAGAAGGACAATGAAGATGACGATGAGGTAGACGACAATGATAAAATACTTTTGAGCGACTATGATGATGAGGAAGATATTTAGCTCAGTTGGTAGCACGTCTATATAATATCATTTCGTTATTATTTTTATGCATTTTTTGTTCCTGTATTTTTGTGCAATATAAATTTTGTTTTCGTATCTAATGTAGCTTCTTAAATAAATGTTCAAAAAAGTACGTGTATTTCTTTTATAAAAGATATTATTTATTTATTTACTCATGGTAATATTTACTTGTACCATTTTTACTCTAAACAACAAAAATGGTACATGTACATTTTGTAAAAAATGTTTCAAAAAAACTAAATGTATATGATTGTAAAAACTGCACATGAAAACATTAAGAACTTACTAATAATAATATCTTGATTAGATTTTAAAATTTTGTTTGGTCTTTTTGTGCCACTACTTAAACTTTAACTCTCATTTTCTCAAAACTATCTAAATGTCACTTGTACCACTTTTCCTCTCAGCCCCTCAATTATTAATGAAAAATATACTTCGTTCATAAATTGGCGCCAAAGCGTTCCAGCGCGCTCTGTGAAGTTTGGGCGTAATCAGGAACGTAAACAATGTAAAAGAATACATTTTTTATATTATATTTATGCGTTAATAATATTTTGTTAACTATTAAAGTGAATAAAGCTTTGTGATAATTGAATTAAACCTTGTACATAGTTTGTTCTAAATTGGTAATTTATAAATAAACTACCTGTAAGAAAAGAGATCGCTAATGTTAAAAACGAAAAAAATATTTTTTTACATTGTTTAAATAATGTTATTAGGTTTTATGTACAAAACAAGGAAGATTCTTACCGATTCCTAACAATCCCTTTTCGATATCTCCGCTGAATTCTTTCTTGATCGACTGTTCGATGTCTTTGCCCGTCAGCCTCTCGTATTCAGAGAATGTAGCTCTTAATTGTTGGTAACTCCTAGTGATGAGGACGGTGTTGAAGATGGATTCTTCGGTGCCCCATTTTCCTTCGCCAGCTTCGATCAAAGCTTCAGCGTCGGCCAGAGCTTGTTGTTCATTGACACCTTGGTTTTCGTCTCTGTTAGCCTAAAGAAAATTAAGTTTTGTGTGAATTAAAGCGATCTGAAGACCCCTAATAAAAGTTATGTCTCTAAATCCATCAAAAATCAATGATTTTCAACAAAACCTAGAATAATTTCTTTCTTTAGACCAAGTAGATAGTGACCATGAGAGTACTAAAGAACATAAAATTATATACGGAACAAACGATGAATACAGAGCGTTATCGAAAGAAATCAGAAAACAGTGCCGCAAAGACAAAGCTGAATGCAGAGAAATAGAGGAACATGGCTGTCGAAATGAACCGAGAGATTTATTTCAGAAGATCAAACTCCTTACCAGCGAATTTAAATCTCAAACATGGTCTGTAATAGATAAAGAAGGTAATCTAAAGATCGATACTGACGAAATATTGGAAACATGGCGAAACTGGCGAAAATACATAGCTATATAAAAAACGAGGTACCAGCAGAAAATCAGTGGCCCTCTGACTACCCTAGAGAACCTACTGTCTTACTGTCTGAAGTCAAAGACGCAATTAAATCGCTAAAGAGAAATAAATCCCCAGGCATTGATTCAATGCCAGGTAAATACTACAGTTGCTACGTAATAAAGGATTACGTATCATCCATTATATCTGTGTCGCTGTTTGGAATTCAGGAAAATGGCCATCTGATTGGTGTACCTCAACTTATATCACGCCACAAAAAAAGAACTACCACCAGATGTGAAAACTACCGTACACTGTCACTAATAACACATGCTATTAAATATTGTTGCATATCATCAAAAAAGGATTAGAAACCTATCTAAATTACCAAATACCTCAGAAACAAGCGGGGTTTGTAAAGGGTAAAGATACACGGGAACAAATCCTGAACCTGAGACAACTCATTGGAAAGTCTACAGAATTTCAAGTCATCATCATCATCAGTTGGCGCTACAGACCTTCGTGAGCCTTGGCCTGCTTCAAAACATTCTTCCATCCTTCCCTATCGAGTGTCTGTCTTCTCCAGCCCCTCACTCCAATCTCCCTCAGATCTTCCTGTACATCGTCCAGATATCTGAGTTTAGGTCGCCCCCTTCTTCCGACCGGCCTGTTTAGCATAGTTATTTTAATGGGATCACTCTTATCCATCCGCATAACGTGGCCCACCCAGCTTAGGCGGTTTATTTTGATGGTCTTGACAATATCTGCATCACCAAAAAGTCTATAGAGTTCAAAGTTATATCGCCTTCTCCACAGACCCTGTTCGTTTACTCCGCCATATATGGTCCTCAATACTTTTCTTTCAAAGACTCGTAGTAACAGAGAATTTCATGTACCTATGATTATATGCTCCGTTGACTACCACAAAGCATTTGATTGTGTAAGTTGGATAAAACTGTGGTCCATTTTAATAGAAATGGAACACCGATGCACCTGGTGACACTTACCAGATTAAAAATCTGTACCAGTACAATATACCAACAGTATGACTAGATGAGAAGTTCTCAAACGTGAATTTCAAACATGTTAACACGTGAACATTGACGTGAATTTTGAGAAGTACAAAAAAAGTCTAGAAACCAGTATAATACTGCAAATATGATGTTTTTTCCTCATTTTGAAGGTATATTTCTTAAGAAGCTACGATTTCTGCGATTCTGCAATTCCTACGATTTCCGATTTCATATCATGTCCATCTCTAACTTTTTCTGGAACGTCTACATTGTCTCCTTTTCTCGGTCTTCCATTCAATAACTGGTATTTTCCATTATTCATAAACGATCGAATCATATAATTTGTTTGTTAGTTATTATATTGTCTAGTGTTGTTTGCTTTACTTTCCCTTTCAAGTTAACTGTCTAGTCTTCAAAGCTTGAGTTTTATAGTGTTTTTATTGAGCGATAACCTTCTTGTTTTAAATATTTGTTTCAATTTACTCAATGCTTTTTCTAAGATTATTTTGAGTACTAGTGATGATAGATGGCATCCCTGTTTGACTCCTTTATTACACATAAAGCCATCACTAATGAATCTTTAAGCCTTTATTAATTCAATGTTTTTGTTTTTCGAGCGTCTTCTGCAGATATCCATATGCACTATGTTCTATGTTTTTGATAGTATAGCCAAGCCGGATCTGTCACAGATTTTATACAATTCGGGATAAGGTCCAGCGACTTCGACTGTTATTATTGACCTGAATTAACTCGAATTTAATTATAGGTTTAAAAAACCGGAAATCGGTCAAAAACCGGTGACTAAACAAGAGCAAAAAGTACTTATTAGAAATTTTTCAAAACAAAAACGACTAAAAACAAAAATTATTTAATAATATTTTTTGGATAAATGTTTAAAGAAGCTTGAAATACCAAAAAAATAACCAAAGATCCATTCAGTTCTTCCAAACAATATAAAATATTTGTAAGAAAATGAAGAGGAATAAAAAAATATAATTTTACGATACCAGATATTATGTAACAATGTAGTTATATACAAAGAGTTTTATACATTGTTTTCCAATTGACCAACCCAATTAAAAAACTCCCAAGTAAAGTCCGTTACATCATTTTCTTTCAAGGGTTTCTTTTTAATTAAAAGTTTTCCTCTATAAAACCTCTTACTCTATAAGTTGGTGTTTAACGATTACTTACTTGCACTAAAGAAACACAGAGCCTTTTGAAATGTCCTGAAGTATCTCCTCTTAAGTCTTTTTCTAAAGTTTTGCCATACACTGAAACAAAAAATTAGCTATTAGAGAAATTGGTGGTACTCCAATTACATTCTAAAAATCGCCATTTTACAGCGTTTTATGTTTTAAAAGATACGAGTTTTGCAAGTTTACCTCAAATATTAAGTTTTTCAATGGGTAAGCAAAAAAATCTAAAAAATGTTATTTTTTATACTAAATTGTCAGGAATTAAAAAAAGACGCCGAAATTTATATGCAAAACATATAAATTTTCTTTATGTAGGCCAGCGGTCGGGGAAACGCTAAATAGCAACCTGTTTGGTATATTTGATCAGAGTTCAGCATCAAGTGCTTAGAAACCATACACTATTGGTGAAGATTTGGTTAAACCAGCTACTGTAAAAATGGCACCGATTATGTGTGGGCAAAAAGAAGCGAAGAAACTGAATCCAGTGCCTTTGTCTGCGAGAATTGTGAAAGAACGAATTTCTATATTAGCAGAAAATGTGAAGGAACACGTTATTTTCGCATTAAAACAGGCTAAATATTTTGTTATTCAGCTTGATGAAACAACTGATTTTAGTAGCAATTCACAGCTAATGGTTATTGTTCAATATGGTATATTGTTAATGTTCATTGACCAAACCTTCGTCAATGGACTGGCTTATCAGCAGATGAATTGCTGTTTTGTTCTCCTCTCGAGTTGAGATCTCGTGGAATTGATGTTTACAATAAAGTAAATGAATACTTCAATGCACAAAGTTTAACATGGGAAAACTCTATTTCTGTATCTTTGGATGAAGCTCCAGCTACTTAGGTCATATTATTGGCTTTTCGGCTTTAGTAAAAAAAATATCCCAAATATTGAAGTTACTTACTGTATCATCCATCGTCAGGCCCTTATGGTTAAATATTTAGAACCTACACCGGAAGCTGTCATGCATGATGTCATCAAGATTGTAAATTTTATCAAGGGACGTGCATTAAACACGCGGCTATTTCGTCAATTATGTCAGGACGGTGAAGCTGAATATACGAACCTTCTTTATTATACAGAAGGTGGCTCTCTCGCGGAAATGTACTAAATCGAGTATGGACTCTTAAACTGAAGACGACATTTTTATGGTTGATCAAAAAAATATTTTCGCAGATAAATTTAAAATCTCGTCCTGGGTTGCATCTCGCATATTTAGCGGACATTTTTGAGATAAATATATTAAACAAAGAATTGCAAGGGAAGAATATTAATATCATTTCAGCAAGAGAAATAGTGTCAGCGTTTGGATTAAAGCTGCAATATTGGAAACAGAAAGTAGAACAGAGCAAAATAGCTTCTTTTTCAAGGTTAGCTTTGTTTTTGGAAGATTGCGAAAATGTTACTTTTACTGACATGAAGGCACAATTGTAAGACTTATCAAACTCAGAAAGCGGTTTTCAGATTACTTTCCAGATCTTGATACAGGTACTGTCAGTTGAATTGTAGATCCTTTTAAATGTTAAATTGCTATGATATCAGAAGAAGCTTCAGGTTTGGCAGAAGCAATTCTTGCACTTCAATCTAATACTGAAGCACACAGTCAATTTGAGAGTAAACCAAATCTGTCGTCTTTTTGGATATCAAAAGCTTTCAAAATTGTACATAAAGCGGTTAAAAAATTGTTGCTATTTGGCGAACAAGGCTTCTCCACTCTAATGAACATAAAAACGAAGAACAGAAATCGATTAAACGCCGAAGACTGTATTTAAATCGTTCTTACATCAAAAAGTCCCAATTTCGAAGCAATTGTATCGAGCATGAAACAGCATAATTTCTCCAAAACGTGAAGGAAGAATGTTTTCAATAATTATTCTTTTTTTTCAAATTTTTTTAATTTTAATTTTTGTTTGTGCCATTATATTATTATTATTATTATAATTTGTTACAGTAATCCAAACTGTCAACCCTCAATTGTACCCCAATGAGTTTCAATTTGTTATATACAGTTAAGAAAAAAATATTCGCCGCCACAAAAAATATAAGTAAATGATAATTTCTTGTTATTTTGCAATTCATACGATATTTTTCTTGTATTATTATTTTAGACTAATAGTACAAGAGTATCCATCATAATTAGACGTATTTAATGTAAAATTTAACGACTGTTGGATTTATACGGAATGGAACTAAAATCAATGTATTTAATCACTTAAAATGCGTGCTACTAAACGAAAAAATGATAAATCCACCAAGCTGTACTATTATCACACTACCGTATCATTAACATTCCTATTTAGCTCAGCGAGATACTAATTACATTAATACAGGCTGATATAATTTTAATTTAATTAATTAGGAAACCTATGGAGGCCGACGACATTACGTGTTGTATGATGTGGTTAACGCGATAAGGTTTGGAAACATCTAACCTAGAAATGTTCAGTTTCGTTGACATAGAAAGAGCAGAAATACGTTCATGAAAAAAAGTATTTTAAGTTTAAGTTAATGAAAAAAATGTGGGTACATTCAATTTATAACCCATAACCAACGTAACATTTCCATTACCACACAGAAAATTAACACCGGCGTTTAAACGAACCAGTAAATAGTTATAGTCTTATTTAAAATCAAGTAAACAGTTTTTATAATATTTACACGATTTATAGATATTTATTGCGGAAAGTTTATCTGAATAATCGTTGTTAAGTGTAAAATCGTTAATACCATACTCAAATTAAGAGCGTAGGTTTTTCTGTAATAAAAATTATATAGCTGCAATGAAATAATGTGCTCCATGGTGAAATAATGCAAAATTCTCTTAATAAATACGTTTAGTGTGTTATTAATAATTCAATAACATGTTTTACAATACTATATATTGTAATATTCGCACCCCACATGGGTTTTTACACACAGAAGATAAAAAGTGTAGACAAAAAGATCGTTTTAATAATGTAAAAATGAACTCGATTTCTGATACTTAGATAAAAAAAGTGACAGTATTGGCCGAAGAGTGCCACGCGAACATGATACTTAATTGACAGGGCTAGTGTGGTCGTATTTCTAACCTTTCTACTTTCTCTCGACAGGAAAGATTATTTCATAGAAAACCAACATCTCCGTTTTTCTTAGAAGGTAAGCTGGGTAGCTCGGCAATAGAAACTAATTTCTTTGTTAAGAGGAAGGGTTTTCTACTTAAAAAAGAAAGATAAAAAGAGCAGGGAACAGAGTGGCGGAGTCGTTCGTTGTTGAAATAAAAGTATGACAAATCGCTCGTTGCTTATGTATTATTTTTGAGGTTTCTAGCCAAGTATATAGACGGGTGGCGTGAAAGTAATTTTCTAAGGGAAATAATTTAAAGAAATTTTAAACATGCTTCAAGGAGACTGTTTTTCTTTTGGCTAATTGCTGGGCCGATGTTGACATCTCTAATTAACAAATCATGAAACAATTTGTACCCTGAATTTCTCACTGATAATAATGAACCAGAAGATGATGTTCCCTTAGCCCAGATTTTTAATAGGTTAAGGAGACCCAATTATCCTCAAATACGTGAGGCAGAAGCTTAAGAATGGGCTCCTGGTGGTGCCATGAAGTGTTAACTGATAAGGGGATTGTGCGAGCGGCTATGTGTGAGGACGGTGAACAAGATGAGGACAATAACGTAGAAGTTCTCGCTTCTGAAAAATCTGGTAGTTCAGAGGCAGTAGGAGCTTTCAAAATAGCTTTAAAATTGGCTGAAGAAAACGAATGTGATACCCACGAAGTTATGTTTTCTCTGTTGGATTCATAGCAGGCAAACGCAGTCCAGGACGAAGAAGAACCTCATGGTTGAAGAACTTGCGAGATTGGTATGGGGTTGATACAAGCATGCTATTTAGGGTGGCAGTGAATAAAATTAAGATAGCTATGATGGTAACCAACGTTCTGAAAGGACATGGTACATGAAGAAGAAGAAGTTGGCTTAGAGATCGGGCTTTCGAAATAAAAAAAGAAAAAGAAAATAAAAAGCAAAAAAGAATTATGAGAATAGAATCAACAATTAAATGTATATTGAAAGAACCAAGCATATTATAAACGCTTGCAATATAAGGCCGAACAAACAAATATCCGGGGAAAGCTCGTACTAAAAGGGATTTGAAGAGTATAATAATTATTTATATCTCTTTTATCATAATTTATTCTAAAAACTGTGTCACTTTTTGTTTCCTTCGACAGACCGAATAACAAGAAGAACAAATGAGTCACCAATTATTTGTAACAATAACCCAGAAGGATGTTAATATTTATTTATATCCTTCGTCTTGCATTCTAATGTATTCAAACATATTAAAACCACAAAATAAAAATTTAAATCTACTGTTGTAGGTAACTCATCGCGCAACAACCTTGACATAAAAATTGTTCAGAAACAGAAACGAAACCATCGACTGCGACTGAATCATGATGTTCATCACCTCCCAAAATAAAATTATATAACTTAGTTAAACCGTAAAACATTGAAACAGCTCAACCGTGGTAATAAAATTTACATTTGTTTAGAATTATCTCACTGTATTAGAGATTGGAAAAATAGATGTTTTCAGGAAGGGATTTCGTACACACAGAATTTATTCAGCGTGGGAGATTCGACGATTTTTATACATATTACAAATGAGAAAAGAGAATTCAATAAACACATAGACGCAATTTACAGGATGATTCCACAAGATACCTATTCCAAAAAAGAATAAGCGAAAAAAGCAGAAACACATACACCCCTAAATATTATAAAAACTAACGAAAACATCTACCAAAACAACAAAATGAAAGTCAGAATAGTTGGACAACTGAACCTACAGAAATAGGCAGCGGAATAAGACAAGAGGATTCATTGAGACCCATGTTCTTCAATTTGATCATGGATGAAATCATCAAAAGCGTTAACAAATGCAGAGGATACAGAATGAGAAATGAAGAAATAAAAATACTCTGTTACGCAGACGATATTGATAGCCCCAGATGAAGATAGTCTGCAAAGACTGGTCCACAGATTTAACATAAGAGCAAAAGAATTTAATATGATAATCTTCATCTCACAAAAATAAAACAATAGTAGTCAGCAAAGAACCAACCAGATGGTAAAATAGAAATTGATGGCATCAGTATTGAACAAGAAATGGAAATGAAATACCTAGGAATACGCGCTCTAGCTATAGAGACCTGGACAAAGAAGTGAGAGATCAAGTACAAAAAGCAAATAGACAGGCAGGATGCTGGAAGAAAATAGCATTATATGGCGTAACAGACAGCAGTAACAATGAGATGAAGTCAAGAATTGATGAAGCCAATAGCTTCCATAGAGGTTTGATCCTATTGATCCGCCAATGAATAAGCGGAATTGCTTATAAAGAGGAAGAAGGGAGAAGAAGGCGCAATTTAGCATTTTTAATGAGAATTATTATTAACCCTTAACTGGGGAGGTGGGGTCATAATTGACCCAGGCACGTAAACAAAACTATTTATTCGTGCACAGCTTCTCCCCCACCAGTACCTTCCTAACATTAGAAAGTTAGTCGCTGTTTATTTCTCAGTACCTTCACGTCAATTTGTGATAGTTGGACACCCCTGATAACAGTTATTTGTTGACCACACAGTGTGTAACAATAATGGCAATTTTGGGGTCCTCAACGTATTTTAAAACCAAAGGATCCGGATTTTAAGGAGATATTGAGTAAACTGATGGACAGTGCTGCAGAGGAAAATCAAAGTAAAAATGTTCCAGATAAGGACTGGATTCTCAGCAATCATGAACGTGACTCTGTTGATGAACAAGGTGACCAAATTTTATCTGTTGATGATACACATTTGAGTAAAGACCAAGTGAAAGATGAACCAACTAAAGATTTTTCAGATTCAGTTAACCGGTCAGGATATTTTCGTGAAAAAAAAATCGCTTTTTTTCGGCAAAAAAGGCAAAATCTGGGAGGATCAGGCAAGCTTCACAGCAGGAAGATCATGTATAGCCCACATATACTCACTGGAACAATTGTTGGAAATGAAAAAACAAAAAATAGAGATATACATGATCTACATCTATGATGAACATGTATAAAAGAAAAGAAAAAACTACACATAAAATACCTAAACACCAAAAAAAACAGGAAGACTTAGACCCATATAGAGCGAAAAACAGAGAGGTAAGAAAGAGTAACAAATGAAAAGAACGAACGATGGGAACAAGCATGCACAGAGATAGAACGACATATCGGAGGAACGAGAAATTCAGAATCATGGCGAATATTAAAAGCACTCCAACGAAATAAGACAAGAGAAAACCCAGATCGGCAAAATTAGTGAAAACGAGTGGCAAGAATACTACGTAGAACTACTTACAGAAAACCGTCCCAATTTCAGGAAGAGAATACAGAACATGCAGGAAATGGGACATACGACCAGATAGAAATAAGTCTGACAGAAGTCAAGAGAGCAATCAAGACATTGAAGAACAAAAAAGCCTAAGGACCCGGAGGGATACCAAACGAACTAATTAAAAACGGAACGGAAAAGTTATTCCGCATGCTACACAGAATGTTCGAAAGAGGACTAAATGGAGAGGAAATACCTGCGGAATGGACACAAGCATACATCACATCCATACATAAGAAAGGAAACAGGAAAAAATGTGAAAACTACAGAGGAATTAGTATAATATCGTCGGTAGGTAGACTTTACGGGAAAATTATCAAGGAAAAACTAGAAACTGAAATAATAGGAAAATTGGAGAAGACCAAGCAGGGTTCACAGTAGGAAAATCATGCCTAGATCATACGTACACATTAGAACAACTGATAGAGAAGAAAATGGCAAAAGGTAGACCGGTCCATCTGGCGTTTGTTGATCTAAAGAAAGCATACGACTCAATACCTAGAGTCAAATTATGGGAAGCAATGAATGATCTCGGAATCCGACAAACACTAATAAAAAGCAGTTAAAGCACTGTACAAAGAAAACAAAGTAGCTATTAAATGTGGAAATAAAGCCTACAATCCATTTAAGACGACAAAAGGACTTCTACAAGGCTGTGCTACGTCCCCTACTCTGTTTAAAATATTCTTGGACAAGACACTCAAACCATGGAGGAGAAAGTGCGAAGGAATGGGCATACCAGTAAGAGACGAATACCTATACACCTTAAGTTTTGCCGACGATCAAGTAGTCATCGCACAAGATGAAAAAGATCTCAGCTTTATGCTCAGAAAACTAGAAGAAGAATATAAAAACGACGGAATGGAAATAAACTTAGAGAAAACCGAATACCTAACAACAGAAAACAAGGATATGAGAAACCTAGAGATAGACGAGGGAAGACAAGTAAATGGAACAGATAAATTCAAGTATTTAGGAACCATAATATCGAACCAGGGAACAACAGAAGAAGATATAAACAACAGACTAAGACAAACAAGAAACTGTATAAGACAACTAAATTCAGTGCTGTGGGATAAGAACATTACGATAAAGACAAAAAAGAGAATATATAATACCCTGACAAGAAGTATCCTGACATATGGGTCCGAAAACTGGACAATAAACAAGAGAAATAGAGGTAGAATAAGAGCAGTAGAAATGGAGTTCCTGAGGAGAAGCTGTAGACTTACAAAAAGAGACAGAATTGAAAACGCAGAGATTAAGCGGAGAATGGGAGTGCAATCAGACATAATCGACTATATAGAGGAGAAGAGACTATCCTGGTACAGCCACGTCAGAAGAGCGGACAGAGGACGCTGGATAAACAAAATTACAGAATGGAGCCCGATCGGAAGAAGAAAGAGAGGAAGACCCCGAAGGTCATTCAGAGACGAAATCGACGAGGCTATGGAGAAAAGAACCCTGCGAGATGGAGACTGGAATGACAGGGAAAATTGGAGAAAACGGTTGAGTGAAGGAAGACAGTGAAAACTGTGGAAATCCTTAGTAGTAGTAGTAGATATACATTTGGCCTTTGGCGTGTGGATCTACACCTATGGGAGGCAATGTACAAATTAGAAATACAGACGGAACTCATAGAAGCTACAAAAGCTCTGTATAAAGAAAATAAAGTGTCCATTAAAATGTCAACAAGTATCATAGAAGACTTCACCACAACAAAAAGGGTCCTGCAGGGTTGTTCCACATGTCTAACATAACAGTCTCTTAGACATATATATATATATATATTATATATATATATAATATATATATATATTTATATATATATATATATTCAAAATATACTTACCTTGGCTACATGGAAAAAAATGCGTGGGAGTACCGGTACGATCGGTACGATACCGATCAAGGAGTGATTGCACAAGACCAAGAAGACCTCAGTTACATGATGAAGAAACTACAAAAAGAATATACCAAGGCTGGCCTAGATATTAACCTCGTGAAAACAGAGTACCTATTTACAAGTGAAGAAGACAGAAGATCTACAGATTGACGACAACGTAACAATCAAAGGAAAAGATAAATTCAAATACTTGGGGTTTATAATCACGAAAAAGGTAACAACAGAGGAAGAAATTAAGCAAAGATTAGGACAAACAAGAATAACAATACGACAACTTAACTCAAAATGGTGGGATAGACCGCACAGAGCCCCATAGGAAGGAGGAAAAGAGGAAGACCCCGAAGATCACGGAGGAACGAAGTAGACGACGCCATGAGTAAGGGAGGCCTAAACGATGAAGAATGGGACAACAGAGAGAGATGGAAACGGTTTAGCGGGGGAAGGCAGTGAATACTGTACGTAACTGTACGTGAATAATACTGTAAGTAACGACAAGAAGTCATCTATTTTTGCAGTTGTAAACAAAAAATGCATTAAAAAGATGGATTCGTCTTTCTATTAACAAAAGCATTATTTAAACAAAAGTTTAAACAGGAAAGAGATGAATCACACCTTTTAGCTAGATTTGATAATCATTCTTTAATAATAATGTAATAAAATAATAAAGTTCATATTGTTTCGATATCATAAGTTCCTCTATGACAAGGATTTTCGTTTTTTTCCCTTCCTCGTATGCTCTAGAAAGTTAAAAAGGATGATAGTTTTTTTTTAAATCGACCAGCGAATCAATATTTTAATATTTTAGCGCTGAAGTGATGCTAAATTTAGAAACCCAACACTAAACACTACAGTTACGGATTTATAGATAGTAATATCGAAGCCCACAACGCTTCTTTCTAGATTAAAAATGTTCTCGAAAAGTTTATCTGCTTCGCATAGAAGAAACAACGACATAAATGAGCAATAAAAAAATATGGCTTATGAAAAAACATTTCTTTAGGGTTTATATAGGAAAACATGTGTTAAAACGGGTGTTTGTAATGCCTCAATAATGTTGTCTGTGTATTCTAAGAGAGAAATTCTAGGCCAGTTGTTTATTGCAACCATTTAAATTTTGATAGTTCATTCATCTCGCCAGAACTACCGAAGGAATATAGTTGATGTAAGTTAATTATTAATAATTCTCGTAATAGTTCATTGTTTGTTTAATTCGCCACACAAACAATGTGTCTAAAATCAATAAAGGAGGAAAATGAAGACTAATTAAAAAAAATATACTCACTTTGTTCGTAAAATTGTGCGATGGTACGGATTCCGTAGTTGGACAAGGTGCACAAGATCTCGATGATGGCTTCTTCATCGGTACCCGCTCCGGCTACGGCATCGTGCAGTTCTTTGGCATACAATTGTGGCAGTGGAGTCATGAGGGCTACCATTACATCCTCGAACTTGCCTCCTAATTCGCTCTTCAATTCGGAGACGAGGTCTTTGCCGTAGGAGGTCTTGAAGGTTTCGGCGATTTCGAGACGTTGGACGATGCCTCTACGGGCCAGGACGTCGATGATGGCTTTCTCGTCGGTGCCGAAACCTTTCATGGCCTTCTTCAAGGTGGCGGCATCTGCCACGGGATCGAAGGGATCGGCGGGGTAGACAGTGGGTGTACACTGAAAACAAAGAACGAAATTATAAATATTAAATAAATATAAAAAGAAAGAAATTTATTTGAATAATAAAAAATCCTTCAAGCCGTAAATTTTCTTAATAGGAAACAAAATATGAATGTTGTACATAAATTATTAATACTTGTAGCATTAGAAACCAATGTTACACGTCCCAGAAACTTTATTATTTATGTTTATATAGTATTTCTTTTCGATATTATGCATAGATATCAGATTGAAGCTCATATTAAACTATTTTGGTAAAAAATTAATCACCTGATATTGAAAGAAAGATTGAGGGAAAAGGAGGACTAGGAAAACTAAAGATATCTCAAAAAAATCCTTGGCTGGTCTGGATGAGATCCCGTATTCTATGTTAACACATGTATCTCATAACATATTTAAACAATTAACATTTCTAGTAAACCTTTCATTTCAGGAAGGGATTTTTCCTCAAATTCTAAATACTGCTTTAGTTGTGCCTATACATAAAAAAGGTGACAAATCAAAATTTAATAACTATCGGGACCTATCACTTTTGTGTATCGAACTATGATAAGTGTAATAAAGTTATCTGTTGGTTTTTTGACTTATCACGAGCTTTTGAAACTGTAAATCATGCAATACTGATAGAAAAACTTTATCATAGTGGTGTTAGAAGAACTGCGTTAAAGTGGATCCACACCTTTTTATCGAAAAGGTTTCAAAAAATTAAGATCAATGTGAATGGTAATATAATATTTTCTTCAGAAGAAAGTGTCCTCTCCGGAGTTCCATAGGGAAGTATCATTGGCCCTCTTTTATTTTTGATTTTCGTCAATGATTTAAATATTTCGTCAATGATAAACGATAGCTCAACATGTTTGGTTTGTAATCCATTAGATAATTTTTCTGATGCAATAAGCGTTCGAGTAGAAAACGTGGAACAGCAACCAGGCTGTTGTGTCACTCAATTTGCTGACGATACCACAGTTGCACTAAATTCCAATAATTTTTTTCATGTAGTACAAAAAACAAACTGTCTTGTAAAAAATATGACTCATTACTGTTTAAAAATCTTAAATAAATCAAAGACCAATATGGTAAATAGTCACTCTAACTAAGTTGTTAGGTGTTTACCTGGATTCAAATTTGTCTTGGAACTCTCACGTTGATTATGTAGTGAGAAGATTGTCTGTGCAGTGGTATGTTCTATGGCAACTTAGGAATTTTGTCTCCCTAGATATCTTAAAACTTTACTATTTTGCAAAATGCGTTCGTTTGTATAATAAATTACCTAATTATGTTAAAGAGTCAAATATTTATGTATTTAAGAGAACAGTTAAGGTATTACTTCTGGTAAAACACTTTCTATTCGTTAGAAGAATACTTGCAGGCATCTTTTTAACAATTTGTATGTTTTTGTGTATATTTTATATGTTTTTATGTACTTATAGTTCTTACTGATCATAGATTGTATTTGACGCATTTCAATACTTGTAAATTGGAAAGAAAAGATGGCTAAGAAACATCTGAGAATGGACTGGGCTAAATTTTGAACAGCTGACGACAGAGAATAATTTGCAATTGTAGTAGCCAACACAATAAAGATAAAAGATGTTAAGAATATTTTGTTTAATTACAACCTGAGTTAGGTCAAGAAGAAAAGGATTCTACATTTTTTTACATTTCAGAGCATATGCTTCAAAAGTTCTGTTGAAAAGCATGAAAATGCTTACAAGATTCATCATTCACCCATACACGATGATAAACCTAATGCATCCAGATGTAAATTACCTGGTTGCCAAGGCAAATCACGAATGACATGCAACAACTGCAATGTTCATCTCTGCATAAGTAAAGCAAAAAATTGTTTTGTAGGATTTTGTAGAATTATTGAATAAAATAAGTTAGTTTTTTGTTTCACTATTTAAAAAAATATATATCTAATATTTTTACTCCATTGGCTCACGATGTCCTCAAATGAGGACATCCTGAGTGTGCCCAAATTGTGCATTTTCAAAATGTAAAACTAATATCAAAAATTCGCAAAAAATCATTCGCGCTATGTTGCAAACTTTAGATTTTTAGCTTAAAGAAATTTAACTGGTGAACGAAAACTTTTGATATAACTATTATAGTTAGGGATATGTTGAAGAAGAAGTACGACAACAAAGCTTAAAAGCAAGTAAAGCAGCTGGATCTCTTAATGACACAATCTGGTAGAAAAAACACCTAAAACAAGACACAAAAATAAGAATTGACGACTACTAGAAACAACAGGGATGAAAATACTCCGACGAGTATCAGGGAGAAGTCTGTAGGATGGGGAGAAAATCGAAAACATAAGAAGAGCATGCAATATAGAAGACATAAATGGATGGTTGACAAAACGGAAACAGGTCGAACACATTAGTAGAATGGCAGAGGATATGATAGTACGAATAGCACGAGATAAGTCACCAAATGGACAAAGAAGTATTGGCAGACCAAGAAAAAGATGTTGCGATAATTTAAACAAATTAGTAGGCTAATATTGAAGAAGAAATATGCTTTAAAGCCTACATACAAGAAGAAAGAAGAAAAAGACGAAAGGGTTAAAAAGAAGGTAAACATTTTGAAGATGGACATTATCTAACAATTGAAAGTGGTTCCTAAGAATAACCGTATGAGATAGAATCTGATGAATGTAAAGATACAAAAGGAAACCATATAAAGCAGACATCAAAAGACGCTTTTTGTGATATGTATGTCTTTATCAAGGAAAAAGATATCAATCTACGACAAGGGATGAACTACATAATGTCAAAAGTAGAAAATGAAAACTTTTTGCTTGATCAGAAAGTTTTAATTTACAAAAACTTACTATTTTGTATCTAATTCTTTGAACCTCAAGTTCTTCTGCTCTATCTGCAGGTACCACAGTGAATTCTTCCTCGACTTCACCCACCACAACACCTTCATCGCTTTTTATAATAGAAAGAGCTTTTCGTATCATCGTTATATGTCACTAAACACCCGTCTAGTTATGATCGATCGTTTGATTAATAACTGGTAAATTGACATATAGTTTTGCAACAAAGATATTCATTACACAACCTTATCTGTATTATGTCATAGTTGGTTTTTTGCACATTATCCGAAATCTTTTGAAATGTTACTTCCTATGTGCAGCTGCAGTTTTTATATTAAATAAATAAATTATACAATGATGAGTATAAAGGTTGCTAATGTGAGTCCATAATACCCGTATATGGGAAATGAGTCAATACTCGTAATCAAATAGTTTTTATTATTTGATGATGGTAGATAAAAAGTGATTGAAAAAGAAAATAATAGTAAAATAGCTGGAAAAATTCACATCACTCTATAAAGTACTTAATAAAAGGCACTCAGACATTTACGTCCGAATGCAATATATCTGAAATAATGGCAATGAAATGATAAAAGCTATTCAATGAAGTATAAAGACGGTACTAGCCACCTCTCTTGATCGAAACAATAGTACATTGTTTACCGGGTAGGAAAAGCTTAACATTCCTGGACGACTGTGAAGATTGCTAAGTCGAGGCGCAAGCCGAGACTTAGCAACACAGAGTCCAGGAATGTGGCTTTTCCTACGAGGTAAACATACTATTTTTCCGCAAATCGTTTAAAATTCGACAGATATTGACTGATTTAAAAAAAACGCGATAATTTTTATTCCCAAATAAATGGTGCTTTGAAATTCCTAATAAAATTACTTGGGTTACTATGGAAACGTATTGAGGTTGAATTGTCAAACTTGACGCTTATAAATTTAATTGCTGGTGTTCTCGAAAGTAAAATGATAAGTAATTATGAAATTTCCATTCCTGGTACTCCTCCAGAGCTTGATGTTTTCAAAATATAAATTAATTCCTTATAAGCAATGTGTTTTCTATCATTTATGTAGAACACTAACAACTGTACGGAAATATCATTTCCTTACAGTAAGGAAATGACATTTCCTTACAGTGAGGAAGTCCTGACTTTTTCTTCAAGAAATTTTGACAGGAATGTCAAAATTTTCCTGGCGATTTGCGGAAAAATATATTCTCGTCCTATACTCTGTTTTTTAACCAGGAGGAGTAAACCAAAAAGACAGATTTACACCCAAGAAAGTTACTAGAAAAGTCACCAAATACATCTTCTTTTTTTGTTGTATATCTCGGCCTTTCGTTATCGAGTAATCAATATCGGACAACCTTAACGTCAATTCTAACCTAACTTTAAGTTTTAATAATATTTTTTTTAATTCACTTCCAATATATATTACAATTATTACAATAAAAAAGACGTTTTCCACATTTGGTCCCATGTATATATATTTAAATATAATTTAGAGAATATTTTGATCCAGAGAGTCAATAATGTTACAGATCTAAGTATGGTTTTTCTCAGAAATTTGACTTTTAATTTGCAAATAGATCTTATATGCAACAAAGCTATGCAAATGCATGTATCAAAAAGTTAGAGAGAGTTCAAAGATTTCTGAAATACTGTTCTTTTAAACTGCGTAGACCATATTCTTATTCTGGTGTGATTAATTTCTTGAATCTAGGTTTTTTTTCTTACCAGAAGAATTAACTTTGACTTTGATCATTATTTTTAAGCTTAATAATCCAATCTCCTGAATTGCTTCAGCCAGTTTGTTTTACATATTCCTTCCCATTCACTGCTTTAAAATTGACTTTTTCATGTTTTATATCACAGAATAAATTATGGTTCAACTATAGGTGTGGTCCTACTTTTCATGCATGGTAATCAGTTACCTCATTAGATAGATTTATCTATCTACACCATTTTGAATTTCTTGATTTATTTTTTCAGCAAAAACTGAATCTATTTCAGATATTTGAGCAAGAAAGTTTTGTTTTTGGTCAGCAGCCCAATGTATAAACTATTCTTTGAATAATATTCCCTAAAAAATAACTATGGTAAGACATTCATAATATACACAATAAATCAATCATCCTATAAAGTAAGATAAACAATCTATAGTT